ATAGGCCGGGTTGATAATCTGACTGTTAATCTTGATGATGCTAAGGGAACATAACTTGCTTCGACTACCATGGCTGAAGCTGAAGCCACCGTGAACACAAGTGTTATGTCTACCAGCTCCATCATCACGACTGAAATTTATGTCACATCAAGTAATGTAGTCGCTACCACTCCTACCACCACTGCAATGATTGCTGCAACCATCGCCACTCCTACCGTGTACACTGTGCCGCTAGTTTTCATAAAAACTACGGTTTCTTCTGCTGCTCATCATGAAACAGTGTCTTCTAGTAGTACACATTCTTCTCCTGTCGTCTTAGCGAGAAATTTTTCTGTATTGAAAATATTGGAGAAATTCTTTAGCATTTTGAGAGAATCTCCCGCTCAAGTCTTAGATCGTGGATAGGACTTTGCAGGAGTTAAAGAGGTGATAGTGCCTTTTTTGGACTTAATGAAGAATTTGACCTCTGACCTCGCAGTGTTATCGTATTGGTTGCATCTGACTAAGGTTGAGGACCTTTTCAATCAATGGCATAATCGTCAATCTCGATCTCTTTACCCTTTAGCTGAAAAATGAGCTATACGAACTATACGACAAAGGGATGACTCCTTATTTGAACTTGACCGTCAATTGCTTGAGACCAAGCAACGAGTTAAGGAGCTCAAAGAGATCGAAGAGAATTTATCCCATGAGGGTAAAAAGGTTGCAGACGCTGAACTTCAAAAACAATGTCAAGTTGATCATCTTCAAGTTCAACTTAAAGCTCTTCAGACCAAACTTACAGAAGCTGAGGTAGAGTTGGCAGGCATGATGGATATGAGGTAGACATTAGCCTCTAAATAGGTGCAACATCAACCCTTGCTCCAAGCGGAACTCGATCGAATAGAATAGCTAGAAAAAGCTGTTAACAATATGAGCGTCTATTCTGATGAGGAACTATATAGACGTGCCTTGGCTGACGTTGAGGTAGAACATCAAGAATCTTTGGCCAAGCTTGCTGAAGAGATTCGTCAGACTGTCGGATCTATTTAGCTCCATTTTTTCTTTTTGTAATCAGACTTTTGTAGTGTTTTTTTATTATAAATAGTACTTTTGATGTCTTTGTCCACTAGTTCTACTTTACACCACAACACACATGAGTCTTCTACATTAGTCTGATATTGAAGTTCATGAATTTCATTACCTTGAGATTTAAGACTTGGAGTACAAGTCTTATCATTCTAATACGAGGTTGGATTCGAACTCCACCTTGTATTTCAAATCTCTCATAGCAAATTTCAAACCTTATGAACTTCGCTAGTCCAAAATTATGAAGCGAGGTTCAAACCTCATTCAATTGAGTCTCAGCATTTGAGCTTAATTAGAGGAATGACATTCGTTATTACATGAGGTTCGAATCAATCTCAATCGAGTCTCAGCATTTGAGCCTAATTAGAGGAATGACCTTTGTTATTAGATGAGGTTTGAACCAATCTCAATCGAGTGAATGACCTTCGGTATAAGACGAGGTCCGAATTCAATCTCAATCGAGTCTCAGCATTTGAGCCCAATTAGAGGAATGACCTTCATTATTAGACAAGGTTCGAACCAATCTCAATAGAGTGAATGACCTTCGTTATAAGATGAGATTCAAACTAATTTTGGCTGAATCTCAAAATTTGAGTTTTAATCGAAATAGCGACCTTCGTCATTTTTGACTTAGGAACAAGAATAAATCTCATTGAATGATGTGGCAGCCTTCGACAGTTCCCAGACTATTGATCCCTAGGGATCCATCGCTTCATTTCATCAACATTAAGTCTTGTGTACTTAATGCGTCACTTCGAGTCACGTCCTTGTCGGCATTAATTACGAAAGCAATTGATTATGTCGCTTTGTTCTATGCGCCCTTTGGCGGTTCAGTGCTCAGGGATTCGTGTAACGAATCCTAGCCAATTGGTTGGCTCCTTTGCCTATAAATAGGCAATTGCTTTTCGAGAAAATCCATCTTCCTCCTCTGTGTCTTGTTTCAAAATGACTCAGAGGGGTCTCTGTATTTTAAGGTTCCCATCTTCGCTTCCTACAAATTTCTAAGTTTTCTATCTTCGATGATCCTCGCAAGTGAGGTAGGCAAAGCTGATGACATTGTCACTTCAGGTAACACTTCTGCTCCGATCCTTGGTCTGATGGATACTTGTTTTGACATGCCACGCACCCCCAAGCATGCAGTCCCTTTTCTGGACTTTAGTCTATATGGAAGCTTCGCAGACTCAGTGAAGTGCTTCTTTTCGGAAGAGTCAACAACAATGTTAGGGTGGCCTTCATGTTCTATGGAGATAGGAGAAGTGCTGATCCTATGCTCAGAGCTTGTGGTGTTTTTATTAGTAGTCTGCTTACCCAAGTAGGTAGGCTGTGCTACAAGCACCCAAGTTAAAAGTTGGGCATGGGGAAGACTTCATGCCCATGAACGGAAGATGGAACTTCAACAACAAGAATAGTGACATTGTTGCGGACGAAGCTCGTAGTGTAACTTCGAAGGTCGTTGAAAGACTTGTAACTGAACTTCATATTGTAGTCCAAGTGTCATTGAAAGAACTTGTCTGAACTTCATATTGTAGTCCAAATGTCATTGAAAGAACTTGTAACTGAACCTTGTAGTGTAGTTCGAGTCTTCTAAGTTCAATCTATGTACTTTGACTTCTTGTACTTTCAATTATATATGAATAAAATTTATAATTTTATCCACATATTTTTTCTTCCTCTTTGTTTAATCAAAAAAACTCAACTTAGGATTTTTAGCAAACCCTCAGCTATCAACGGACTTGAGTTATCTTTACCAACTGCTGTTTGAGTTGGACTAGCTATATTTTTTCTCTCAGTATGATGAGTTATCAAAGAGTTTCTTTTAGGCTTTAATGCTAAGATTTCTCTTTTATCCTTAGCCTCTTTTAGGCTTCAGATCAAATGTAGGATAACGAAGTTTGAAATATGACTAAGTGTTAAGAACAAAGCTCAACACATAGCAATCGAATTAGTAAAACGAACTTCATTTGTAAAGAATGATGATGTTGGAAAGATCAAGTTATTCAATGACTTAGAATAGCAACGATAAAGAAAACAAAGGCACATCACTTGGTAGGCCAAAGTTGGAAAGTGCACATCATTTGGGAAAACGACGACATTAGGAAAATCACATCGTTCAGTGACTTAAAAGTATGACGATGTTGATAGAAACGAAGGCACATCACTTGGTAGGCCTAAGTTAAAAAACAAATGTCATTTAGAAAAATAACGAAGTTAGGAAAATCACATCGTTCAGTGACTTAAAAGTATGACGATGCTGATAGAAACGAAGACACATCACTTGGTAGGCCTAAGTTAAAAAATGAATATCATTTGGGAAAATAACGACGCTAGGAAAATCACATCGTTCAGTGACTTAAAAGTATGACGATATTGATAGAAATGAAGACACATCATTTGGTAGGCCTAAGTTAGAAAACGAATGTTATTTGAGAAAATGAAGACGTTAGGTAAATCAAATATAGTAACACATCACATAGTAGGTTACTATTGGAAAGATATTTTTGAATAAGGGTTAAACAAAGACTGTCAGAGGTAATCATTAACATGATAGTTTTGTGATCCCACTATCCTATTGAAGAGGATTAGTGAGGGAAATTTAGAAGAAACGAAGTAAGGAAACCATTAACTTTATTTGCTTCTTCTCCTGCCATGAGATGCATTTGACCATGGGGTCCATGGGTAATATTTTTTAGAAATTTACCATTGATAGGCATCATGAGTTTGTCGCCGTCTTGAGTGATAAGAGGATAGGCTCCATTTGAGTAGACAGTTTCTACCACAAACGGCCCCTCCCATTTTGGCTCGAACTTTTCCTTCTTTTTGGAATTCAAAATCATTGAGCGTCGGACAATAAGGACCAAGTCACCTTCCTTAAATGTGCGGTATCTAACCTTTTTATCGAATGCTCTGGAAATCCGAGCTTGATAAAGCTCGATGTGTTGTTGAGCCAGTAGTCGCTTTTCATCTAGCACTTTCAGTTCTTCAAGATGTCGGCGATGACTTTCTTCCATTGTCATGCCAGTCATAAGTGCTATTCGCAGAGACGGAATTTGAATTTCCAATGGTAATATAGCTTCACATCCATATACCAAGGAATATGGTGTCGCTCTTGTCGGCGTGCGAACCGTTGTGCGATAGGCCCACAAACTTTGACCCAGTTTTTCATTCCAGCCTCTTTTGTTCGTTGAAACCACCTTAGTGAGTATTCTGATGATGGTCTTGTTGAAAGATTCTGCTTGCCCGTTAGCAGTAGGGTTATAAACTGTTGAAGCTAAATTCTTGATCCTGAATTTATCACAGAATCGAGTAAATGCTTGACTAACGAACTGAGGCCCATTGTCATAGACGATACACCTCAGAATGCCGTATCTGTATATGATGTGATGTTTTAAGAAATTAATAACATCACTCGTCTTAACCTCTCTCAACAGGATTGCTTCCCATGTTTCAAACATCCATGAAGTGGCTGACGGGTGAAGATGTTTGGGCGGCTGATACATGTAATTAGCACGTATCTGGCAGGCGTGGCATCATTTGGTATAAGTGACAGTGTTCTGTACCATATTAGGCCAGTAATAACCCAATCTGCATAGTCGGTCCCACAATTTAGGGCCGGGCTAATGAGCTCCACAGATGCCATCATGAGCTTCCTTAAGAGCTTCTTTTGCCTCTCTACTTGACAAACAGCGAAGAAATAGCCCGTCATAAGACCTTTGGTATAAAGTCTGGGATTAGGAATCGTAATAGAATCTAGGTGCTCGTTTACGAATAGATTCTCTTTCCTTGATGTCTTCAGGCAATAAGCCATATAGGACATAATCAATAATCGAAAATTGCCAATCCTTAGGTTCGAGCGTTGTGGGCTCATCTTCAATCACGTTGATTTGCAACACATACTTTGACTTGAACAAATGTTTGCTCATCACAGTGATTTGTTAGGCAGCTCTCTCAGGTAGAGCCAACGTGGCTGCAAGTGACGCCAACGCGTCAGCATAAGTATTCTTGAGACGGGGTACATAGTCAATGTAGAAGCCCTCAAATGAATCAGCCAACATGATCGTTGCGGTATGATAAGGAATGAGGTCTTCATTCCTAACTTCATATTCTCCCTTCATCTGATTAACAATAAGTTGCGAATCGCCATATGCTATTAGGTGCTTCACCCCCAGCTGTCTAGCTATATCAAGCAAGGCCGACCAATAAAGCATTGTATTCGGCTACATTATTAGAGCATAGTTCTATTAGAGAAACAGCTCGTGGTAGCACATGATTTTATGAAGAGATAAAGATTACTCCTACTCCGGCAACAACTCGACCAGCAAGACTTGCTCTTGCTGCACCATCAAAATATAGTTGCCATACCTGCTCTTTAGAAACAACATTAGCTTCATACGTCTCATCTGGTATGTCCTGATACGATTCCACCTTCCCCTTCAATGGATGGTTGGCCATAAGGTCACAAATAGCTTGACCTTTTACTGTCTTTTGAGGTTTGAAATGAATATCATATTGGGAGAGTAACAATACCCATCTAGCGAGTCGCCAGTTCAACGCGCTGGGTTGTGTCATGAATACCCGAATAGGATTGGTCTGGAAAATGATATGTATGGTTTGCCCAACCAAATAATATCGCATCTTCTGGACTGTGAATACTAGTGCCAAACATTCTTTCTCAATAAGAGGATAACGAGGTTCAGCACCCGATAAAGTCCTACTAAGATAGTAGATAGCTTGCTCATGGCCATTTTCATTATCTTGTCCTAAGAGTCCTGCCAATGCATGATCTATAACCCGGATATATATCAAGAAAGATTTACCTAACTTCGGTGCAACCAATATAGGCAGATTAGAGAGATATTGCTTAATCTCCTTGAATGCTTTCTGGAAAGCTTCATCCCATATAAAGGATATTCCTTTCTTCATTAGCCTTGAGAATGGTTGACATTTGCCTGATAGGTTAGAAATGAACCTGCGAATATATGTCAATCACCCTTGTAAACCCCGAAGCTCTTTGATATTTCTAGGAGGTGACAGCTCTCGGATGGATTTGACTTTGTCTGGGTCAAGACGAATTATGTTAGCTGTGACCACGAACCCAAGGAATTTACCGTTAGTCATTCCTAAAAATGACTTGGTCGGGTTCATCTTAAGTTGATGTGTCCACATGAGGTCAAACATTGTTTTCAAGTCGTGTAAATGATTTTCCTTGTCATGACTTTTAACGACCAAGTCATCCACATAACATTCTACAGTCTTCCGTAGATGTCTTTTAAAAATGGAGGTCATGGAACGTTGGTATGTAGCACCAGCATTCTTCAATCCAAAGGGCATTACTATATAGCAGTATATCCCTAAAAGTGTTCGGAAGAACGTGTGCTTTTCGTCATCAGGATACATCTTGATTTGGTTGTACCCTGAGAATCCATCCATAAAAGACATCCTTTCAAACCCGCACGTATTGTCAATAATAACGTCCATGATGGGTAAAGGAAAATCATCTTTAGGACAAGCTGAATTCAAGTCTCAGAAGTCAATGCACACTCGAATCTTCCCATTCTTTTTCAGAACAGGGATAATGTTAGCTACCCAATCAGGGTGTCGCTCTTCGCGAATAAACCCTGACTCAATAAGCTTGACTTCAGCTTCAATTACTTCTATAATTTGGGGCAAAAATCACCTTTGCTGTTGTTTAACAGGCTTGACGTCTGGCTTAATATTTAAGCGATGCATAGCCACTTAAGGATTGAGACCAGGCATATCCCCATAATTCCAAGCAAAAACGTCAATATACTCTCGCACTAGAGTAATGAGTTCTTCTTTTTCTTCTGGTGATAAGCTATCACTTATGAATATGGGTTTTGGGTTAATCTCGTCTCCCATGTTCACTTGAATCACTTTGTCGTCAGTAGGAGGTTCGCGTTGTTTGAAGCGGTGTTCCCACTGTTGGCCCTCTTATTTTGATGATGGTCTTACAAACAATTTACGACTAATGATTGTTTTTAGCATGTCGGTCTCATATACACAGGTCATGCAAATCAACTGATATTGAAGCTTGTGCAAATTCAACTTCCCATCAAGATCAAGCTTCTTATGTCTATAATTTGATAATAGGTTTGATATGTTGTGTGAAGTCTGTTAAGCTCAACACACACACACACACACACACACACACACACATATATATATATATATATATACACACACATAAATATAACATAGGACTTTTATGCAAAATGTGTGTCTAAGTATTTTGGACTGTTTCCTCACTTTCAACATCTCTATTTATGTTCATATACATCTACTATAAGTTTGCAAAACATGTTTTTAAGTTAAAAGTTAAAAATCATATAAAATATGTATTTTAGTGTCTTTTACAGGAAACAGTAATTTTTCTAAAATAGAAATACAATTTGAAAAATTTCTTTACCAAAATGTTTATTGACATGTTTATAAACTTTTCCTCAAATTTCATAAATTTTGGAGCTTGTTTGATGTTTTTAACATGTCAACAAAAACCCTCTTTTCAAACCTGAAAAACTATTTTTATTAGCTCACGGTCGATCGCATGTGTCTTTGCGATCGACCGCACTTCATCCAGTGACTGCTTCTGTTTTTATATCAGATCACGGTCGACCTTCATTGGCTCTGCGGTCGACCGTTATTTTTCTAGAGACTCAACTATGCTTTTAACAGCTCGCGGTTGACCGCCCTTGGCGCAGCGGTCGACCACTATTGATCCAGTCTATTTTCCTTATTTGATAAACTGCTTGCGGTCGACCGGACCTGTCTTTGCGGTCGACTGCCAAGCTAGCCATTGAACAATAATTGTTTGGGTTTTTAATCTTTTTACATTGGTTTTTGTTGCTGTTTGGAGTTGTTATAAATACCCCTATGCATTCAACTCCTCAACTTACCAAGAGTTTTGTTTAATCAAGTTTATAAAAGATTTAAGAAGTGTTTAAGAGGTGTTTCCTCAACTTACCAAGAGTTTTGTTTAATCAAGTTTATAAAAGATTTAAGAAGTGTTTAAGAGGTGTTTAGGCCTTGTTTGTTGGTTTGATACAAAAGAGGAGTTGCACTACAAGAAGAAGTTGTTTCAACTTCAATTGAGGATCACATCCTTGTCTCCTCTTGTTTATTGAGAAGTTTTCTAAACTCCGTTTATATAGCTCTTTGATCAATTGCTCATATTTTCATCTTAGCTATATTAATTGAGTTGCAATTTTATTACTTGCTTTTATGCTATATTAATTGAGTTGCAATTTTATTACTTGCTTTTATCACACACCTTTGTTGAGCTTATTATATTTCTTACAATATATTGTTGGATAGTGGTGTGTGATCTAGTGAGAGTGAGCTTAATTGAGTTCTCATCAATTGTAGAGAACAACCTTTCTTGTATTCATACTTATTTGTGAGATCACATTGTGTAATACACTTGTACACCAAGAGGAGTATATGGTGAGGACGTAGTCGATACCGAGAGGAGTGGCATCGGTTGTAAAGCCTAGTGAGAGGTGGTAATTCCGAGCACTTGAGGGAGGCGATACGTGAGGACCAACACTTGAGGTTGTAGCTTGTGTATGTACATTGTGAGGATTTATGAGAGTTGTCGGTTAACTTGATAACCGAGTGTGTAGAAGAAGTTTCGGCTTCCAAACCGGGTGTGTAGTGATAGTGTAGATCTCCTCAAGGTGAGCGGAGACGTAGGTCGTGGGGACCAAACTCCGTGATCATATCGTGTGTTTGTGATTGCTTTGCGCACATTTATTTTGTTGTTACCTTTTACATTCTTGCTCATATCATATTGCATATATATCTTTGCAAGAACAAATAGTTCAATATAATTTTAATTTGGCATAACATTGGATTAGATTAGCAATAGACCCTATTCACCCCCCCCCCTCTAGGGTCTAACAATTGATATCAGAGCTTGGTGCTCTTTGATTTAAGGTCTAATCGCCTTGAGTTAAAGATCCAAGTCATCTATCTTGCTAATCCTTTTTTAACCTAAATTTTTTTTTCTTGCTTCATATATCATGAACATGTACAATGCACCTAGTCTCGGTTATGCTATAAATGTTGCTCCTAGGTTAGATAGTTTTCCCTATGCTCAATGGTATATTAGATTTAAGCTATTTGCTAGATCTAATAATATTGATATTTAGGAAGTTATTAATTGTGCCTATAGAGTTCCCACTACGGAGAAATCCAACTGGAATAATGATGACAAAAGATTGTTTGCTATAAACAAGTCTTTGTTAGAATTCTTAGTCAATGCCTTTAGTTTATCATTTGCTAACATACTTGATTTTTTGATAGTGCTTATGAGCTTTGGAATTTAATAGAAGCACATCAAGGTGGCCATCCGACAAGAGTTGGAAAATCTCGCCTCAAAATCTAAAAGAGTCTCATCTTCATGTATGGAACCACTAGGAGATAACCCTAGTGAGGTACGCGAGCTCGACAATGATGATGATATTACTTTTGATGAGCTTGCACATGAATTTGACAAATTATTGCATGACCATAAGAAATTGAAACATAGCTATATTGAGTTAAAAAGCAAGCATGTTGAAATAAAATCCTCACATGAAATTTTGGCTACTAAGTTTGATTTCATTGCAAATGAAAATGTAAATCCTATACACTATGCACACATGTATGATAAGGTTCACAAATGCTCTATTTGCGGTCGTAAAGGCCATTCAGCTAAAACTTGTCAAAATACACAAAAGATTAACAAGCCTACACATGATTGTGCACACCATCAAGCTTCTCCATCTCATTCACATGTACACACACAAAATGATTATCACAAATATGCTCATGTGTATAAATGTGAATTTTGTGGACGTTTTGGTCACTTGACAAAATTCTGTTTTCATTTAAAAAGAAGTTTTTGTTTGCAAAATAACTACAAAGAAAAACCTATTTTTACAAAAAAGCCTCGTGCACAACACTTTGGTCAACACAAACAATTTCAAACCTTACATTGCACAAATTACAATCGTATGGGTCATGTTTATGATTTTTGTTTTGACCGTATTAATGCACAAAATACACCTAAATGGGTTCATAACCCAAGGGCCTCAAACTTAAATAATAGGGGTTATGTCCCTAAATTTTCCGGCATCAACAATAGTTGGATGCCAAAACAAATTTGACCTTGATTAACTTCGTTTTGTTTTTATGTTTTTGGTTTTATGATAATCTTTTGTTTTTAAATAAAATTTGCCAAAATTAAATGCTTTATGAAAATACTTTACTGTTTGAAAATACAGTATAAAGTTTATATTTACCTTATATTTTCAAAAATATCTATATGTATACAACAATTATTTAAAAATAAATTTAAATAAGTAAAAACTGCTGGTATTGCCCAGCGATCGACCGCGTGTGTTACTGTGGTCGATCGTAAATTTTTTAGAACCTAAGTGTTTATCTGTTGTTTTCACGATCGACCGCCGAACCCTATGCGGTCGTCCGTGATGAGCTTTTAATTTTTTTTTGTTTCAATCTGTTATTTTTACGGTCGACCGCCGAACCCTATATGGTCGACCACGAAGAGTCTGCTTTTTCATGAACTGTCTGCTATTTTCACGGTCGACCGCCGAACCCTATGTAGTCGACCGCGAAGAAATAAAATCTGTTTTCTGGACTGCTTTTGCTTATTGGGTTTACGGGTTTGGGTTGGTTTTCTATTAAACCTGCTTGCTCTCCATCGTTGATCCATCTCCAGAGCTCATCTTCACCGTTGATTCCATCTTTTTAGGACCCGACCTCTCACCTTCTCTCATTTCATCGTTCCTATTTGAAACCCTATTCCTCAAACTTTCGGTCTACCGTAGCTCCCATTACGGTCGGCCATGGCTCCTTCTCCTCCTCATTGGGCTCTTATCCTCTAGCTAGGTAAATCCTCT